CATATTATTTGTTATATTTTTATTATTCATTATTTTCACTTGACTCGCATAAATAATTTTGTTCGAAGAACATTTTATGCAGTTGTACTTCACAGCACTTCACTTGCAATTTGCAATTTCTAGTTTAACCTAATACTGTATCATAACAAGTAGAATACTGGAGCTATTTGAACCAAGAACCCAGTTTTTATAAGTGTTAACTTTGTGTTTGTAAGATATTATTCAGATGCATTCAAATAACTTGTTTTATTATTTTTTTAAAATTATTTAGCCAGCAATTGGAACAAATCCGATAGCATGTGGTGCTCCTGCAACTGGCGATGATAGCTTTGTTCTTGATATGGCAACTTCGGCTGTGGCTGTAGGAAAGGTAGGTACTACTACAGATTGTATCTACGATATATGATCAAGTAGCACCTCTGGGATATGATCACCAGTGCATAGGATCTCTGTGATATATATGGCAGTGGAGACATTCTTTTGTAAGATACAATTTTGTAAAGTGAAGTTAAACATTTATAGCATTTAAGTTGTGTAAACTGTAGCTTACATAAGGAACACCACGATATCGAAGGGGTATCTCGCAAACCTCAAATAGAAGCCCAATGGGCTTAATCTCAAGAAGAAGCCCATCTAGAATTGAAGCCCCCCCCTCTTTTGTTGGCAAAATCAGCCTTGAAAAGAAACCCATGGGCTTCTTTTCAAGATAGCGTGGGCTTTTTTCGAGATAGTACAGTACATACACAGTACATGAACTTCAAAGCAACTAAATAAATTAAAAACATGCTTGGTTTATACAGTAGTTTTTAAGTGATTTAATGCCAGTTAATACATGATACAGATTGATGTTACAGTGGCCCTACTTTTATTTACTGTATAGTAGTAATTCCCAAAATTTACATCATTCGTTTTGAAACGAAGTCCCCCCACCCCTTCTTTACTTTGCAAATGTAGCCCAAAGAAACCCATCCAAAGTTTGCTTTATGACAAGTAACATGATGAAGAGCTCTGGTTGTTTACATGAATGCTATGAATAGGATCATGTGAACGAGCAGCCATTGAGTATTATGGTTTTTTTTTTGTGTGTAATTTTTTTTTTATACATAACTTTTGATTTCATTTCTAAATAGATTGAGTTGAATGACAGGAAGGGCCTTCCAATACCAGATGGATGGGGATCAGACTCCAGAGGAAAGGTATGTCTTTACATCTTAAGCATCTTTTTGTTTTTCTTATACCAGTAAATTCATGTTGATAATGTTCATAAATTTACACATTTCTTCTAGGTATCTAATGATGCAAAGGCTATTTTGAATGGAGGAGGCCTAATGCCACTTGGGGGTACTGAGCTTTGCAGTGGTTACAAGGTATTTAATTATTAATAATGGTTGTGATGATGATAATTGTAATGATGATGATGATGATGTTTTGATACACATCGATTATTAATAAATATATTAATAATATTGATATTGTTTATAATAATAATGATAATGTGATAATCCAATTTTATTTCATCCTGGATAACCCAGATTTAGCCAAAACTGTTCTTCCTTGGGCTATGTATTTGTACATATGGTATTTAAAATAAATATAGTATTACATAAATCAGTAAAAACTAAGCAAGACTTTATATGTTACATTCCATTGCCATAGGGTTATGGATTAGCAATGATGGTGGAGCTCTTTTGTGGAATTCTGGGAGGTGCAAGTTATGGTCCACATATTAGGAAATGGAAAGATACTGACAGAGTGGCAAATCTGGTAAGTTTATTCCCCATAGTAATTTAAAAAGTTCCACATTCACCACAGCCCCCCACCTCCCCACCCTCCTCCTTTCTTAACAGGCTGGGTCTGCCCCTGATATAGAAAAATATAATTTAAAAGTACTTACTTTTGTACCCCATGGTTTATGTTATGCATTAAGATTTCAACAGCTTACCATTACCTGTGTAAATATCAACTGTAAATTCTCATTTTAACAAAAATACCATTCCACTCTGTTTGTGATTGAAGACTTTGTGTACAGTTCATTAACAAATTTGTTTTCAGTTTTTTAACATATTTCTTGTTCTTTTTAGGGACAATGTTTCGTAGCCATCAACCCAGACGCCTTTGCTCCAGGATTTCCCGACCGAATGCAATCATTTTTAAGCGATTATCGCAATGCCACCCCTGTAAGCAATTTATAAATTTGTACAAGTAAAGTTCATTGTTTGTTTATTACTTTGATTATGTATTTTTTTTTCAACTGTCTTTTATGGTGGTCCTGGCCTAGTTGATCATTCAGGCAATCAATCAAATATTCTCATTTAATTAAAGGGAAATATGGTTGACTTGTCCTTGGTACTCAAAAAATGGTCAAGTTAGCTTTTCAAAAGAAAATTGGGGCAAATTTGCTATATAGGAAGTGGTGCTTCATAAAGAAAGAGAAAAAAAAATCATAGGATGCTTATAATTTTGTTTACTTTCATGCCAGGCTGATAGTGAAAAGGAAGTGTTTGTAGCAGGTGACCCTGAAAGGAAGCACATTGAAAAGGTAGCGAAAGATGGAGGCTTGTCCTACCACAGAAATCTGGTAGATCACCTTGTAAGTACACTGTCTGTTATTAGTCTAATTCGCAAGAGACAAAAAGCTAAATGTTACAGGACGTTATATAGTTGTATAGGCCAGCTAGATATAATTTTCACTAGAGCCCCTGTGAATACTGTTCCAGAGCTGGAGAACAGAGCAATGAAAATGATTCTTCTGCCTGTTAGGCCAGTAGTTTTCTTTGTAGTATTTAGGATATTTCATGGTTATATTTTTTTTGTTCATGTTAAGTGCATAGAGGCAACTTTCTTGCATTATGGGCCATAGAAGACATTATTATTATTATTATTATTATTATTATTATTATTATTATTATTATTATTACATTATTAAGAAGACACAACAATAATTGTTACTTAACCAATATCCTGAGGCGCGTGGAACGGAGAGAGTAGAGAAAACAGTAGAACTTATACATACTTAATATTATTATTTTTACTATTATGATTAAATGAGAACACTGCTTGCATTGAGTTTTTAGTTTATTTGAATAGTAAATTGGGTTTTCTTCCAGTGCCGTCATTGAATTGGCAAGTAAGTATAAACAAAATATCATGATTTTTGATAATTCAATCTCTCAAAATACTGTACATGCTTACAATATGGGAGCTTGAAATAAATGTTTTACTATATTTTTAAAAATATTTTTTTACAGAACACTCTAGCTACTGACTTGAAAGTTGAGCAGATTAAAACAAAATAATCCATTCAGACTATTGAGACAATATTTTTTTACTTTTATGCTGGTATGCTTATGTATCCTTCAAAGGCTAAATGTATTATTGTAGATTAATAATCATGAAATCTTAATTTAATCCAGATGGTTTTAGGGCCTTGTAAGATTTTAATTGGCGTGAATAATATTTTATTCATATTTACTTGAAAATGGAATAAAACATATTAACTGCCTGTAGATGCCACAGTATTATGTATTATTGTAGAATAATAGTCCTGAAATCAAAATTTAATCCAGATAGTTTCAAGGCCTTGTAACAAAGATTTTAATTGTTGTGTAATGATACATAATATACAGTATGTTTACTTAAAAATGGAATAAAATGTATTAACTGCCTGTAGGTGCCACAGTGGATGCAGATTAGTTCTCAACCTTTAGGTCGGGGTTCAATCCCTCCTTGTGAGTTTCATTTGCGTCTTTAGCAGGAGTCTCCGGTTGTCCGGAGCTTCTGGGAGATCTGGATAAAATAATGAGCTTTCTTAACATATTTTATTTTATTTTGCTGCATATGGTCATACCCATCGGCACTGACTTCCATGAGACAATTGATAATAAAGTAGTAAAAACATGCAAATGTTATGAATTTGCAGGAGATGGGTAATCTTCCGGGAGAATCTTGCTTGCTTGTGGGAGTCCGTCCCAATATTTAGGAGACTTGGGACCCCTGCACAAAATGCAATATAATGCAATATATATATATTCTATATATAATTTTGCTTACTGCAACATTATATATAGAATTTTCCCCAGGGAGCTAGAGCTAAGGATGTACTGTATTCCATGTGTAGCATCCAGAAATGATGTGAAGAGCTTTGAAGCCTAGTTTGCATGAAGGTATTTTAAGTCATTAATTCTAATACATTGAAGCAAGTGGTACAACAAGAGTCCTGGATTCTAACCAAAACATCAGGGTTGTACATTTGCCATGCTCGTACCCTTCGGCAAGGCACTATATCTACATTGTCTCTTCACCATGGAGTATGCTATCAATTGGTACCTGGGTTACACATGTGTTGATGCATATTTTTATGATATGCTATGGGTATGTGTTCCATCTGTTTTGCTGTGGTGTTAGGGTAATACTTATATCTTAAGTCACAAAGGGTTAAAAG